GGGGGGGGGTCTAAAACTTTCCTAGTGCTAGCGCATGCCAAGCCCTGACCTGACCTCCTCTTCAGGTTATGGCGACATCGCATGCGTTACGGTAGCTGGACGGATACTTACCGTAATCTATTCATGTATTGGTATACCATTGATGCTCATCACGCTAAACGATCTTGGGAAATTCTTGTATAACAACATAAACGGATGTGTCAAGGTGAGCTTCCTGTGCGATGTTTACATTTGTCTAATGGGAAAACTAGTCTGTAAGTCTAAATAACAGAACATCGAGGATTTCGGCACGTACTTAGGTGTGCTTCGATTGTGTGGAACAAAAGAGAAGAAGATCGATAATGTAAGCAAAAATTTATACATGTTATCCTAAAAACCACAAATTGGATGCTATGACTTTTCTCTAGGTGGATATGCTAGAGCGAGGAGAGACAGCTCTAGATATCTCTTCAATAGCTTCCGAGATTGGAAGCCTTCCTTCAATTGGCGATATTGAAGAAGATGAGGAACCAAAACAGCCCAGGATGAGTGTCAAGGTACTAAAACTTCCCTCACCTACCCATTCTATAATAATCTTAAGGTTGCCCTTGGTATAACTATTGGTTGGATATTTTTTTGTTCTGGACTTTTCCGACTTTGGGAAGATTGGAGCTATGGTGAAAGCTGTTATTTCATGTTTATAAGTCTGTCTACAATTGGTTTGGGTGATATATCAGTTGCTAGGAGAGAGTAAGTGCCAAAAATTTTCTCTCACTTTTGTTATTTGCTTGCTTTTCAGTATGATGGTGCTTTGCTTTGTTTTTGTAATCATTGGTCTTTCTCTGGTCAGTATGAGTATAAATGTTGTGCAGGTAAGGAAGGTTGCTGATAACTTAGATTACCGGATTATGTTCATATCTCATAACCATTTTCAAACATCTATTCTCCATGTCCTTAAGCTGGAGCAATTTGCTCCAAACTGTTCCAAAGTATGAATTTATTTACATCTGTTATTCAACTAGGTTTTTTTCTCCTCATGAACACCAAACCTTGCTGATGGAATATTTTCTAGGTGGCTTTAGAGGATTTTTATGTCAACTTGATGATGAAAGTTATCATTGAATATCAACAAAAAATGGAGGCTGGTAAGAGACTTCATAATATAAAATTTACATGGTTTTCGTAATCCAAATAATCAGGTGGTGACCAAATGGGAGCATCAGTTGGTATGATGCGCATGTGGAGCGGCAATAAAACAGCCAAATACTTGATGCCACTTCTAAGGTGAATGATACCTTCATAGAAAAAACTAGCAAGTTTAAAACAATTTTTCCAGCAAAGAAAAGAAACGTTGTGCAATGGAAAAAGTCGAGCAGGAAGCGCAATCAAAGGGTATAGAAGTACCCGCTATTCTAACAGATTTGGATGAGAAAACAGGTATCCAAGCACTTTTCAATTCTTTGTTACCTGTGATATTTCACTCTATTCTTTGTTAGCTATGATATTTCACTTCTGTTCTTTGAGACAAACATTATGATGAAGAGTGAAT